TGGTGGCCAACCCTACAATTCTGGCCATCTATTTAGGTTAGTTCACTGCTGCATTCCAATAGAAAATTTGCATACAGAGTAGAATTAGCTCCATTAATGATCAGTTAAGCTTGCACCTACTATGACAAGGGAAAAAATGTAACATCAGCCAGTTTTAGGGTCCTCTGGTAGATCTCTGGAGTATTTGGAGCAGATAGGCAAAAAAATGCACTCAATTATTTAATATAACAGTAGCAAATTGTTTTCTCCCTTGCCTGCCTGCAACCATAAATTATATTGCTGAAAAGACCAATGTGAAACCTTATGTGGAAAGTATGTGGATTTAGCTCAGTTCAAGCACAAAAGAAAATTCCTGGGTCTAGGCTTATTAAGCTTCTGTTTTTTTGTTTTTCTTCCATTAAGTTCCATTTGGTGGTTTGGTGGGCTTCTAAGTGACTTGAGTGACATCTAAAATCTCCCCAACATTTTGTAACACTCTGTTGTTTTTGTGAAACAATGTTTTGCCTTGTTTTAGCTGAGGAATAGAATAGAATAGAATAGAATAGAATAGAATAGAATAGAATAGAATAGAATAGAATAGAACTTTATTACGGTCTTAGACCAGCAATAGAGCTGAGGAATAGAACAAGACATTTTAACCAAAGTCCCATTGATGATATTACCTAGGCTGATAATAAAACTAAATGTCAAGCTCAGAGAGCAAAAATTTCAAGCTATATCAGGTCCAGATTAAAATCAATGTTTAAAGGTCAAGAAAAATTTACAAAGAAAAAAGGGTCAGGGAGAAAAAATGAAGAGAGAAGACGGGTTGCAGGAGGTGGTAATGCCCCATTTTTTGAATGAAAAATGTCGTGCGCATGACACAGGAAGGCAGGGTAATGGCACAAGTTCTCTAAATCCAGGTAGTCCTTGACTTACGGCCAAAATGTCTGTTGCTAAGCAAGACAGTTAAGTCAGTTTTGCCCCATTTTAACGATCTTTCTTGCCACAGTTGTTAAGTAAATCACTACAATTGTTAAGCTAGCAACCCGGTTGTTAAGTGAATCTGGCTTCCCCACTGACTTTGATTGTCCAAAGGTCGGCAAAAGGGATCATAGGAGCCCTGGACACTGGAACCGTCATAAATATGAATCATTTGCCAACCAGCTGAATTTTGATCGTGTGACCTCTGGCATGCTTCAACAGTCATTAAGTGTGGAAAATGGCCATGTCACTTTTTTCAGTGCCACTGTAATGTTGAATGGTCACTAAATGAAGTGTTGTAAGTCATGTTCTAACGATGTGAATATTCTTGCTATTTTTAATTTGTTTGGTAAAATACTAAGAGAGGGAACAAACATCCCATATCATGGGACACGTCAGTAGATAGGAGTCTGTAGAGATTCTTACTCATCCAGGTCATAGTTGTCCCAAAGGTGCTTTTTCAGGAGGCAACTGGACTTTCTTCTTCTTGTTTTTCTTTGAAGACATTTTGCTTCTCATCCAAGAAGCTTCTTCAACTCTGACAGGATAGTGGGGAATGGAAGGATTTATATTCCTTGCAGACAGCATTCCCCACTATCCTGCAGAGCTGAAGAAGCTTCTTGCATGAGAAGTGAAACTTCTTTAAAGGAAAAACAACAACAAGAAAGTCCAGTTGCCTTCTGAAAAAGCACCTTTGGGACCTATCAGTAGATATGGTGGCTACTTTCTTTCTATAAAAAGTTATATTCTCATTTGGGTCTTATAATCCATCTGAAGTGTCTTTCATAAAACTGATTTTAAGATATTTGTCGTAATAGGAAATACATTGAAATCTCATTGAATCTTGTATGCTTAAATAATACCGCCATCCCAATATAGGCACAAATCTGCAACCATTGATCATTCAATGAGGCAGTGTTTGCTTTAGATGTCTAAGAGTTAAACCCACAATTTCAATATCTGGAGATTGTTGTGGCTTTCCTGAAAGAAATTCATTTACAGCAATCAGTTCTTGCTGCCGCTTTTCAATGTATTATTATCCCCAGTTGTTCTCCTTTTCCATTTTCCAATGAAACACAAGAGCCAACAAAGAGGCTTTACTTTCTCCATTATAATAAGAATAATTTATAACCTGCTGGTGTTTTTGTAACCAGTGGCTGATCTATATAGATTCTAAAGTTATTCCACATTCTTCTAAATCAAGAGCAAGATTCATTACCTCAGGCCCTTTGTTTAATTCCTATGGATTCATCATCTGATGATACAATGAAGCTATCTATCATGGCCTATCTCCACACAGGATTTTCTAATGAGCAGAGCAATTTTAGACATAGCCTCAAGGCATGCAAGCATCTACCTATGGAAAAATTAAGTCCAGCTGTGATCAAAGGCTGATTTTTTATAGAGTGGTCTCCAGAAGATAAAAAACTTATATTCAACCTCGAGTCAAAAGACCATTTAACAAATAAATACTGTAGTAAAGTATTTACTACGGATGCACTGAATATAATTCCCATCACTATCTATAGCATGATTTATTTATTGTGAAATATCAGATTATGAAGGTTTGGTCTAGACATGACCCAACTCCCATAAAAATGTGAAGAAGCCAGACTCCCATAGTTATCAAAACCCTATCAATTTCAGACCGCAGAGATGTTATAAGCACAAAAAATACTTTTCACATCTTAACTACAGCAGTTAGAGTGGAGGGGAAGGAATAACTGAGATGGTTATGCTGGCAGCAGTCTTCCTCCTCTGACGTGTAATTTTCTAGTTCTCCAGTATTATTTGGCTCACTGAAATGTAATGCCTGCATATATAGGCAGAGTACAGACTGTAAAAGTCCATGCACTTTTCCAGAAGTTCCAGGGACCAAGGCAGCAACACCAGGTATTAAGGGATGCAGAGAGTTACAATTAAAGAAGAAATTAATTGAGAAGGTTTAATTCAATTTGATTATTTAAGAAGATTACTGGTAATTACTGGTAAATAAACAATGTAAAAAATAAATGGAAACGAAAGAGAATGCCACTGGAGATGAGAAAAACGGCAGCCAAAGGGGAGGCAGGCTTCAAACCATCCCAATTCTTCAGCTGAGGACAATCAAAGCAGCCATTCAGGACAAAAGGGGATTATAGTTTGCTGTATGGAAAGCAAGAAAGTAGCCGCCATATCTGCTGATATGTCCCAAAGGTGCTTTTTCAGAAGGCAACTGGACTTTCTTGTTTTTCTTTTCCTTTGAAGACATTTCACTTCTTATCCAAGAAGCCTAAGTCATTTATAAAGATATTGAAGAGTACTGGGCCTAAGATAGAACCTTGTAGTACTCCACTGCTTGCCTTCCCTCCATGTAGATGTAGTACCATTAAGGACTATTCATTGAGTACAGTTTGTCAGCCAGTTGTTAGCCAGCTTTGTCTAACTGGCTGTCAAAAAACATAACTGGCTTTATCGCTTTAGTTTTTATATAGATGGCTTGCTTGACTGATCTCAGAAGTGTGTTAGAAGGGACACAGAGAAACACATTCGGGCTTTAGCATGGCTTTAACTTGGCAGCCAAGAGTGCACCAGCACTGCTTCCTCTTCAGTATCAGACCTACATTTACTTGGGTGTTGGGCTTAACAGCAATGGCCTACCAAAATACTCTGCTGTATTTTCCTTCAAGAAAATCTGTGCCTTTCTAAATCTGTGTTCATTGCTGTTTTAATTTTTAAAACTTTTATTCATTTATTTATTTTTAAAGGAAGGAAGGAAATGATAGGGAGGAAGAGAGGGAAGATTTTTGATGCTCTCTGCCAACTTCCCAGAAGAAAACTCAATGGGGGAGCCAGCAGGAAGTCAGAAGTTGCTCTGGCTCACTCCCACTGCTTTTTTGCCCAGTAGTAGTCTTTTCTGTTTTTCTGTTTAGGTAAGGAAATATCTCTAGAATGATGACCCAACTAGGTAAGAATTGTCTAGTGATCGTTTAAAGCGCTACAGTAGTGCCTAAACCTAGTGACCATCTTGTTAACACAACTTAACAAATTGGTTAGATTTTCACAAGTTAAAGAATTGAGCTTCTTATATCAACCCAACCAGTGCATTCTACCAGTGAAACATATTGTTTAGTGAAGTCAAAGACAGAAACTGTCTGCAGGCCAAATTACTACGTTTTTTTTTAATGTTCAGAAGCTATTAAGGGGAGGTTAAAAAGAGAAAATGAAGAGAAGCCATAGTGTTGTATTGGTGAAGTGAAAGATAAGAAGTGAAAGTTAAATAAGAATAATTTAAAGATAAATAAGAATGAAACATGTATCAGTAAAAACAACCAGTACACACAGAGATACTACTTGATAGAAATAATTAGCTTCATTACTCAATTTTAAAATCGCCTCAGTAGTTTGCAAACCATACAGGAGACACAGGCATTTTCAGATCATCTAAAGCATTTGAGTTTTACAATCCCTCAATATTTTCATTTATGGTATTGAGAGACCTCTAGTGGTGGCATGGGGGGTTTTAAACAAAAATTAGGGTCTCTTGCTGTTTCCTAAAGCAGTCAAACCACCATTCTTATAGCTAATAACGTTTTAAAGATATAATGTACAATATCTAAGTAGATTCTTTACTAACACTTTAAGAGATATTAAATATATCAGTAGTAAATTTACCTGAAGAGGGGATTTTCTGTTACAATTTTTGAAGAATTTCTCCCCCAAACTATAGATATGTAGGTGTATTAGAAAGATTTTCAATAACAGACTTATTCTTTCAGATTCTTGTGAATTAACGTAATGTTTTCAATCCCTGCTTTCATTTATAGTGACTTCATTATTCTGACTTGGTTTATAGTGACTTAAAAGCATTATGTATATTATCGTTTATATAAAAACTGAAATTTTGTGACTGTCTGTGCCTCAGGCATCTCCTTACTTAGTACCAAATTATACTTGCTACTTTTTGGATATGCCTGTGAGTGCATCAGTTGATATTAGCATGAAGGAATAAAATCTCCCTTCCCTTTAAAAGTTCTCCTTTCTTTCCTTTCTTACAGGTACAGGAGAGAGTGGGAAAAGTACATTTATCAAGCAGATGAAGATAATTCATGGATCAGGCTTTACAGAAGAAGAGCGGAAAAGATACACAAAACTGGTTTATCAAAACATATATTCCGCTATGCAAGCTATGGTGAGCGCTATGGATGCTTTACAAATACCATACTCATCTGAACAAAGCAAGGTATAGTATTGCACATAAATTAAAATCACTTCTGCTGTTTATTGTATAAGTCAGGTTAAGTAAAAATGCACTGGCATAAACCCATTCAGTCAATTTGGGTAGGGCATGATTATTTAATGTAGCTGGAAATATGCAGTGATTCTATGGATTCTAATCAAGAATTTCAACCTTATGATAAAACATGTATTATTTCACAGTGTGATGAGTTTAGGAATATGTTACATGTACATATACAAAGGAGTCTCTCGTCTTTTTCTTCAACTTTCCTGCTCTTAGCTATTGCCAAGTTTTGTTATTATTTGTTTTGTCCAGCAGCTTTCTATATTTTGGCCATATAAGGCTTTTGGCCTATCCAATGCTCAGTAAGCCTTCATAGTGTAGTAGCTTCATTGCATCTCCATCACTGTCCTTCAGATATTCTTCTAATCTCCTTTTTTATTTTTCAACTCTTTGGTGTACTTACAACATTTCATGCCCACCCATTTTCCTTGGTAAGTAGAGTCTGATATTGTCATTAAATGAAGGGTATGATTTATAGTCATTGTGTTTCTGGTCTTTCTAGCCAGACCTTTTAATTTTGTTTGAGCTTAATCCACTACTCCAGCTGTATATCTAATGACTGGAATCGTCAGGGTTTTAATTGCCTTGATATTATTTCTGCCACTGTGTTTGGACTTTAAGATCTCCTTCATTCTGCTGGTTCATTTTAGCTGTTCATTTTTCTTGACTTCAGTATGTTGTTGTCAGCCCGAGGGATATCCAGTATTTGTAGCCATTTTATTTCCATAAGGTATCTTTAATCCTTCAGTTTTCTTCTATTGATCTTTTGTCCCTCTGCTGTTTGAGTAGTTTCTTTTGTGCTCAGGGGGAGCACAAAGCTTGTTTTCAATTAGGTGTTGTAGGACTGCATCAGCTATCACACCAGTTAGCAACTTGAAAGTTGTTAATAAGCAGGTAAATGTTCTGTAGTTAGTGGATGCTGCCTTTTTGTTGGATCTTTCATTGTCAGGTAGATTTTTCCAGATGTTGATCAATACTCCCTTGGACTATGTTATTAAATTACTTGGCAATCACTTGGTCAGGTAGCAATCGGAAAATTTATTGGAAAAGAGATTCAGATACCTTGACAATAGCAAGGTGAATTTATTTGATGACAGGAGCGATGGATGCACCATTGGGAGACTTGAAGTGCCAGGTTGAGTGCAGATGGTTCTGAAGAAGGTCTATATAGCCATTAACACTTGTCATCAATTTGATACACCAATTTGATATTCACATATCCAATTAGTTGGATATCATTTCTCCAGGATTATCAGTAATTTCTTCTTTAGGTATTCAAATCTTATATTTATTTTGTAGTGATTGTATCCAGTTATCCGGTGTTCTGCTGGTTTCTTTTACCACTTTGATTTTTCATCAAAGGGTTCCTCCATTGATTTTTGCCTTCTTGTTATGTGTCCCAAATATTTAATTCATCATTAGCATTTTCACTGAACTGTCTGCTTTGATTTTATCTAGTAGTAAATGTTTGTCTTTTTTCAGTCCAAGTCCAAGGCATTTTTGACATTTTTTTGCACTATTCACAGGCATTTTTTTTTTAATTTCCTTGGCATTTCTGACAGTCCAGCTTATCTGTTATAACTGGGAAAGCCATAGTCTTGGCACTATTCATCTTTGCTTTAGGTGTGCTGGTAATATTTTGTCTAGGCCTATCACAGAAAACATCTTTTGCATTATCACAATTTGTATGCCGCAAGATTATCTCTTCTGCATTGATTTTGGGAAGGAAAATTAAGCAAAGAATTTCACGATATCCACCTGCTGTTTCCAACATAAAAGATGAGATTTCAGCAGAAGGCGAAAAACCAAAACCAAACTGCAGGTGGACCTTCCTTAATGGTGGTAATTGGGACTAGACTTTTTGTTGCTAAGTGATGCATTCATTAAGCATGATGTCACATGACTGCAGTGCTTAGCAATAGCACTCCCGACAGTTGCCATTATTAAGCAAGGATGGCAGGTTAAGCAAAGACCTCAGGTGACTGCAACTTTCTACTTCCTGCTGGCTTCCAACAAGCAAAGTCAATGGGGAATCCAGCAGGAAGTTGCCAGTTCTGATCACGAGAAGTCTCAGGTTTGGTGGCTTACAAACAGGCCAATGGGCAGGTGAATGCTGTGGAGTGCATGTGAACATAGGTGATGGGTGCTGCCATGTGACATTGTTGTGGCCTGTTGGCCACCAGCCCCTCCAACTTTATGAGGAGGAGGTGTGGGAGTCAGGGTCAGCATCAGGACAACCTGATAGCTCTAAAGGGGAAGAGGGAATGGAGCTGTCAGAGAGAGAGAGAGAGAGAGAGACAGAGGTGGACCCTGAGTAGCCCTCAGATGGAGAGTCAATAGCCCCTACGTCTGGAGGGGGCTGATGAGGAAGAGGAGGAACAGCTGTGTGCAGTGACTGACACACGGAGAAGGAAGAGGAGAGGAGAGCAGTGGAAATCTGTGGGCCGATCCTTGGGATAGAAGAGCCACCGCTGCTAGCAAAGTCTCACCCTAGCTCTGGGGATAAAAGGCAGGGGGCAAAGATGAATAGATATTGCAGACAACTATGCATCTCCCTGCTGGACAGACTTGAGAGAGAGAGAGAGTGAGTGAGAGAGAGAGAGAGAGAGAGAGAGAGAGAGAGAGAGACTTTTTGCTGAGGTTGCTGGCGCTCCTAATAAGGAATAATTGGTTTAAATACAGAGGAGTTGTCATGTTTGGGGAGCTGGGTCAGAACAGGCATGAGTGCAGGCAGAGACTATGGCATGGTGCGAATGGACATAGATGTACGTGTATTTGTGTACTACAGCCTGGCACGCCTCAAGAGATAAAACAGCAGGATTGGGGGTAACTAATTAGAGTGACTTGCAACCTCCAGCCAGCTTCCCCACTGACTTTACTCATGGCAAGTTGGCAGGAAAGATCACAAATGACAATCATGGGACTACAGGGGTGCTGCAACAGCCACAATTTGAAGGACTGGTTGTTAAGTCTCCTTCATTCAGCATCATTTGAACAGTTGCTGAACTAGAGGTTGTAACCTAAGGGCTATCTGTACGACGATATACAGGTAGGCCTTGACCCTATGACCCTGGGCACATTTGAGGCCAGAATTTATGTTGCTAAATGAAAAATTTGTTAAGTGAGTTTTGCCCCATTTTACGATTTTTCCTGCCAGCTTGGTTAAGTGAATCGCTGCAGTTGTTCAATTAGTAACACGGTTGTTAAGTGAATCTGGCTTCCACACTGACTTTGCTTGTCAGAGGGTCACAAAAGGGGATCATATGACCCCTGGACACTGCAACTGTCGGGCTCCGAGTTTACCCAGAGCCCGTCAGCTCCGAATATTTTTCACAGCAAGTCAGCTGGCCATGTCACCATATCTCTGTTGCTGCCAGATCTGTATTTCTGCTTGTGTGCTGCCCAATGGCTTTGGAATGACTCAGCAGAGCTGAGGATGGATTCTGCAACAACTGCGGGGCTGTTGGAACTGGCTCTTTTCATGTATTGATGTGGAGCATATTGTCAAAGGGGGTTGGGGCACATATAGGTGGTAATTAAGCCCTAGGTTAAAACATGGTGAAGGTGGCACCAGGTGGGGATCAGTTAGGGAGGGTCGGAATAGGGTAGGGATGTAGACATGTTATAGGGTTAATAGCATTTAGGGATAATGGGTTAGGCGTAGCCAGAATTACAACTGCGTATAGGCCTAGGTGTGGTGAGGTGTGTCTCACAATAATGGTGATAAAAGGAAAGGGAGCAAACCCAACTCTAGCCTTGCCTGGGTTTTAGCCATTCTTGCCTGATTAGAGTATTTGTTGTTTGATGCTGTATTGAATAAACCATCATTGTCCTAAAGAGGAGCTGGAGTTTGGGTTCATTTAAAGACAAATCTTCAATACTCAAGGACTGGTTGAGAGCAAATGTCATAAATATGAACCAGTTGTCAAGCATCCGAATGTAAATTACGTGACAGTGGGGATGCTACAAAGGTCATAAGTATGAAAAATGGTCATAAACCACACTTTTCAGTGCCATTTTAACTTTGAACGGTCACTAAATGAACTGTTGTAAGTCGAGGGCTACTTCCATGTTTCTCTCCAGAATCTAGCTAAAGAATCTAGCCTCTTTGATCATCCCTTCCCATCCTTTTATGGCTCATTCTGCAAGATAGTATAATGTAAATATATACCAGACTAAAACAAAGAGACCTATGACTTCGTAATGTAAAGTGTTGTTAGGCAAAATTAATTAGGCATAGATTGCTAGTGAGAACATTAAATTGATTGATTTTATTTTATTTATTTATTCATCTCCTTTATAAATAAAGGAGATAAATAAATATTTATTTTTATTTTTTGACGTTTTAATTTTTTCAGGTCTTACCTGTCTGTTCCTATAGATAGTTAGTGTAATCATGTGTAATAACACAGTTGGAGGGAAACTGTTTTTCACAAGCTGTCAAAAAGGCAAATTTTGTGCTTGGGATAATTAGAAAAGAGATTAAAAATAAAATGCCAACAGGATAATGCCCTGTGTTATATCATCTGGAATACTTTGTACAATTCTGGCTGCTGCATTTGAAATAGAGCTAGAAAAGGTGCAGAAGAGAGCAATCAAATATCCACCTTATGAGAAAGAATATCTGGCACTTTTCAGACTAGAAAAAGGCAACTGAGAGGGAATATTATCAAGATGTGTTTGATCACACATAGCTGTAGAGCAGGGGTCCCCAAACTTGGCAACTTTAAGACTTGTGGACTTGGAGAATTCTGGGAGTTGAAGTCCACAAGTCTTAAGGTTGCCAAGTTTGGAGACGTCTACTGTAGAGGAAGGGTGAGAGAACCTGAGGGTGGATTTAAAAGAGGGATCAACCTAGAATCTCTGTAGCTACAACTGAGCTAAGTCCAACTCGTCCATTGACTCTTATCTAACTCCTACAAAGTGGTGACCTTAGTTGA